CCCCAAAACCCCAAAACCCCAGTAGGTATGGTGAAATGATAAAATTTAGAAATTAAATAATAAATATGAGATTAATTAAGTAGTTATGAGATTTATTTTCATTTCTTTTTGGCTGGCATTAATCCACCAGCTCTTTCTGCCTCTTCTTGAGTATATGGTTTCTCAGTTTTTACTATTCTAAATCTCTTTTTATGTTCTTTAGTCTTTAGATGCTCGGCCATCGCCTTCTCATTGATTAAATATCTAGCACAAGTAAGGCAGTAATGTTGACCCAATCCTGGCAAATCCTCATTAAATTCCTAATTTAATAGCTTTGCAGCATTTGATTCGATTAAATCCTCGAATACGATCTAGTCAAGATCACGTTTGTAGTGTCTAGTTCTTCTTGCCTTCTTTACTTCTTTGTGCTTAGCAACGTTATTCTTTCTTCTTAATCTACCCATTTATGTGAATGACTTTTAGTGATAGTAGTATATTTTATGTATTTAATAATATTATAAACTATTTTAATATTTAATCAATTATTAGCAGGAGGACTCTAAGAGTTTTTGTAGTTTTCCACTTGTAAAGTTTTCAGCAAAGTGTTAGACTCCTTGATATTCGCAAATTCCAAACAAAATTTCTGAACATCTAAGTTAACTTCTTGCAAACTAATCAACTTAGTCTTTTGAACTTGAAGAAGGAAAACACAAACAAGACGGACCATTCTATTTTTGTTGACTTTGGTATCAATGCTATTAATACATTGGTTCATGCAATTCTTTAAAAACACCTAAATGAACTCCTGTGGAAGTTCTACAACATTTGATAGGCGATTAAATACTTCGAGGGTATTTGGGCTAAGCTTCATAGTTGACAAAGCATCATAGTACTTAACAATTTACACTGTATTCGTCATACAGATTAGAAGTTCGTAGGCAATATTTTGATTGTTAAAGATCAAGGATGGCAATTTCTGTGGACTCATACCAATATGAAATACGAGTTCTGGATCAGTTTTAATACCCTTGATAAGCTTGTTTTATTCTTCTGTGTTAAGATTCATTCTGATTGCATTGTTAAGGAGTTATCTCATCTGATTGTAGTAAAAGTCCTAACCCATGTTAAAATCCCAATAAGGCTCTGGTAGCATTCCTGGAATTAACCAATATGGCTAATAAAATATAAACTTAGTAAATTACCTCCATATCATCTAGTGGGTCAGACTCTTCTATTGGTAGGGGTCTTAAAATGTTAGGAGGGAAATAGTGTGGCATAAGTTCATCTTCCCCAATCTGATCAAAAGGTATACCAGTCTCTGGAGGACATTGCTCCTCTTAGTCATCCTAATCCCTTAATATCCCAGTTAATGAGTGAGCTTTCATCCCATTAATTTTTGGCATATTCTACTGAAACATGTTAATATACTCTTTTAGGTCTGGAATTGGAAGTTCAAGAGGGTCTTTATTGTTTTCAATGTCTTGAATATATTGACCAACTTGTTATTTGCTCATCTGAAATTATTAATAAATTTGTGGGAATGTAATACCTTTGGTACTGAGACTAAGAAATCAGTAAGTAATTTGAATTCCGCCTTGTACTAGTTATCCTCTCCTACTTGATTAGTTGACATGTTTATATGCTAGACACAAGTCTATAGTGAACTCATAACTACTGCCTCAAATGGAGTTGACTTAACATTTTCATGTCGATATAATTGATACAAAATGTAGAATGCAATTATTCTCTAACTCTTCGACAAAAGCTATAATCATTATTTTAGGAATGAAACTTAGAAGGATATTTAGGTAATTTTACATTGTTTTCAAGAAGTTAGCAGAGTGTACAGCATGCTCTGAACTGCTCAGCCTTGTTGAATTTCTGGAATTGCTGAAGGCACTACTCAAAAGTCTTGGATTGCTCCATTGAGAGCACATCTTAGAGTGATTGCAACTCTTGATTATTCAACATTTTTACTTTAATAACTATTATATTAAAAATCGAATAATTATTTCTCCATTTCAAATATTATTATGTCCTATGGGGTTTTGGGGTTTTGGGG